GTGTGCAGTCAGAGTCCAGGGTGAGCGCGTCAGGTTTTATTTGTGTGTGTAGTGTGTCTGTGTATTCATGTCTGCTCCCAGGGAGAGGCGGTGTTGTGTGTTAGGTCGTGGCACGCACAGAAAAGAAACCTGGCATTTGAGAACATGCTCCTCACAGAGAACTCCACGGCCCCTGCCTGGTCCTTCCTGAACTAATTAAGTCGTCTCTGACATTTTCAGACATGAAAAGAAAAGCTCTTTGACTTTCTTTGCGGTCACACTAATGAGGGTTATGTCAGGAGGTGACCTCGGCCTACTTTGCCTCAGAGGATGTGCTGCAGATGCCTCACAGCAATGTTTTTTTCAAGGGAAAGATGTGTTTGTATGTGTGTGCTTTCATTATATTGCATAAAATTATAGGTGGTGTTTTTAAAACCAATGAATTTGATTAAAAATAGAGCACTTAAAACACTGGAAAAGCTTATTTCTCTGTGTTTCCACTAGTCCCATTTTATGGTGTTGTGGAAAAGCTGTTTTAAAATGCTAAATAGTGTGCTTATTGTTCAGCTTCCCTTGAGGCAGGCTACTCAAAACTATTTATGACAAACCATGCATTAAACATCATTCCCTTCTATTGAATGACTGCCTCTTGACACTGCAGGGTGGATCCCAGTACACATTTCAGAAAGGTATCACTCTTTGGTTTAATCAAGTCTTGGGTGGTTAATGGTAAATGTGTGAAAGTTTCTCTCAGCGTGCGGTGTAGAATCCAGACGGGTTCCGAGGGGAAAGCTAACATTTCTGAAACCAAGCCCAGTGTTTCCCAGGAGAGAGGCTGCTGAGGAGAAGGAGGGACATGTTACACCCCTGCAGTGAAGAGATAACTCAAGCTGTGGATGAGTGCCAGTACACTCACTATATGTTACACAGTGAAGGTGGAAGATAACCTTAACTATATATTTTAAAAGAGAAGTGTGCAATTTCTACACCTCTAGCACCACCAAACTGTATTGGAAAAAAAAAAAAACTATTATATGTATGTATGTATTTATACATGGATGGATGGATGGATGGATGGATGGACGGACAACTGTTCCTAAACTTCAGAACAGTGTTCTACAACAACAGTGAAATTTCATCCATTCAAAAATTCAAATCTCACTAATTTTTTTAATGATTTTCTGATGTTCCATATTGTCCAGCCAGTCACAACTCCGAGTTGATGCATTTACCTCACATTTTGTGGTGTTGCTTCAACATTCCTTTTCAAATCAAAGAGCAAAATGGCTCAAAAAATGTCTCAAAAAAGTTTTTATGTATGTGCAATCAGTATATACCTGTTTAACAATACATAACTCAAAATATGTTTTAGGGTTTCATGACCCTTTAACTCTGTCCGTATTCTTACTTCATATCTGTCTTGGTTTTTGTTTTTGTATTGAATAACGTGTACGATGCAGCATGTTACTGATTTTGTAGTTTTCAACAAATTCTTATTGACGCTTTCAAGACTATCATCATTTTTGTAACTTTGACAAACCCTCACCTGTATGTTGGCCAGTTAGAAAACATTGGTGAAAAATCAGTAAAATTACAGAAAACAAAACATTTATGTTTGCAAAGCATAAAAAAAGGATGAATTTTTCAGGATCAGTGCAGCACTGGTTCTAATGGGCAAAAGGCTATTTTGTAAAATGTCCCAAAACTCACACTGGTGCCCAGGCCACAAGGCCATCCTTATATTTGAGCCTTGAGAGACTTTATTTTTTAACCTCTCCTGATCTTGAGTTGTGTATTAGCTCTTGCTGACCTGAAGTACTTTAGTGTTTGTGTGGTGCTGACGCTTTGCCGAGTGAGATATGGAGTCAGCTTTTCACACCGATGCTCCAGAAGAGCTGATGAACTGTGACTCCCTACACAGAGACGCAGCTCCACATCTGGGCATGACTTATCCTGCTCTGCCCCCCGTGGTGTTCGCTCCATCCATGATCTCTCAGTCAAATGAACCACTGCCTTCCTAATGGTGCTGCACTGAAATGATTTAAGACGGTGTTTGTTTAATCTACATTCACGGGCACTTTAGTCTGGGAAAAAGAGATAGTTGAAGGTCTTGATGTGATCACTGAGACAGTAAGGTAGTGATGGCACATTGCAGAGATCTCGAAGCAGACTTCAATTCATGTTTGCTTGAGCTGTGAGGATTGCGTAAAGTACATTTCTCTGCTTTTTGCTCTAATTAGATGAGTGCCAGTACACACGCTATGTTACACAGTGAAGGTGGAAGATAACCTTAACTATATATTTTAAAAGAGA